TCGGGAATGCTAGAGGTGAACCTGTTCCTCCTAAGCACGAGGCTCACGATTTTGCTGCCAACTAGTGGAAACTTGGGCCCGAAAGAGTTGTCTTCCAAGTCGAGGACTTGAAGGTTTTCCAGATTGGTAAGATCAGGAACATTTCCCGTAAAATTGTTCCTCGACAGTGCAAGAATCCGAAGATTTTGCAAATCCCCGAGTGTATCCGGGAGGGGGCCTCTGAAAGAATTGTTCTTCACACTCAAAACCGCCAAATCTGAAAGCAAACCAAGCCCATCTGGAAGCCTGCCAGTGAACTTATTCCCATCGAGTATAAGTGTTTGGAGGTTAATCAACGATGAGATTTGTCTCGGGATGGCGTTGTGGAAGAAATTGGAGGTCAGGTCAAGTATCTCGAGTCCTGATAATCTCGAAATTTTGCCAGGCAACGGCCCCCATAAACCAAGAGACACTAACTTGAGGACCTTCAAGCTCGGGAGCTTAACGAGGCTACTAACAAAGGCATCAATGGAAAAGTTTTCGGGCAATTGAGGCGTGCCCTTCTCGCCGATTATATGCAACTGAGTTATGCTTCCTCCATAGCAGACAACCGTAACTGAAGAACTCGTTTCAGCATTGCAGAAATCCGTGTCGTTCTTCCAGCTCCTCAAGGAAGCCGGGGAGTTAAGAAGCTCTCGAATCCTCAGAAGTGCTCGAACTTCAAAGGATTGTGCTTGTTCGGAATACCCAACTAACGATGACAAAACAAGACAGACTATAACAAGTTCCCTAAGGCCAAAACTCCCCGCCATTGCCAAAAACTACAGAAACACGTTATCTGGGGAAGAACTAACTCTGAAACACAATAAAAATACAGATAAATCTTATGATTTCTGCTCTAAGATTACACTGAAACTTAGGGGCAAGAAAATTGGGCAGAAAAAAATTTCAAGAATCATGCTTAAAACAAGAAAACAATGCAGCCAAATATCCATATAACTATCAGAAATAATATAATAAGTTCTGGAAATTGAAAGCTCACCTCTATCTGCCAGAGAAATCAGCCAATTCAAGATTCTGGGGAAAATCCTCTGAAAAATAGAGCAAAATTAGGCTGAAATTAAAACAAGGTAGCAATATCTATCAGAAACCCTCATTTAGGTGAACACCCAAACATCAAAACCTTAAGAACAGCAAATAACTTCAAATGCAAACCTCACCAAACAGAACCAACAACTGGTCAACTCCTACCACTCACACTTCACATTCTATGCTTAGTATGACAAGACATTATTGGTATTTAGAATCAGTAAAGGTTGTACCTTTGGCTCAAGAAATACACTATTCTGATGATTATTTCAAAACCAAAATGTAGATGGGGCCAAAGCCAAGAAGATTATGCAGAACCCACACACTGGCTGCTTCTTTCCACACTTTAACCGCCATTATCACCTCAGAAACCGACAGACAACCTTTGTGTTCTTTCCCCACTTTCTTAAATTAAAAAAACAAAAATGTAACTTAGTGAAGCTGATGCTAAAGTGCACAATGGGTTTCACAGTTGGATTGAACTCAAGAAAAAGGAAAAGATGAAGATTACAACTAACCTTTATTCCCTCTTTGTGCGTGCCCCTATTCAGAAGTCTTTTTCTTTTCCTTCTTTGTACTAATCATTCCTAATTAGACACCTTTTCTTTTCTTTTCTTTTCTTTTCTTTTTTGAACCATTTGGCTTGGAGCTACTGGCTTATGCACTCTTTGTGCAGTGATATCACTGTGCATAATGTAGAAGATGATGTAAACTAAAGGAATTAAATGGCAATGGAGATTGGAGAAGATGAAATAATAGGATTGAGTTTTAAAGTTTTTTATATTAATGTATGTACAAATAGCTTATGGTATGCAATATATTATTATAGGATAAAGGCTAATAAATTAAAGTTCTTTGCATAAGCATCTATATACTAATAGTTTTTCATGTTATCTCTACATAATTCATTTTCAGTTGCATGATATATGTAATATATAAATATATTCAAGTATTTGGAGAAGTCTTTATAGGCCAGTTATCTTATTCAAAAGAGGTGCCTACAATTAAACAAGGAAATTAGTTAATGTGTCTACAGGGGAAACTTTGGTACACTTAAATATATTCAAGCTAAATATCCGTGAATTTTATGTAAGATTTTCTGAGACATGTATTATGTTTATACAGTATAATCAATTAATATTAATGAAAATAAAACATGTTTTTCTACATGTAATCTTCATCTATATATAGAAATGAGAGCAACATGAGTGTATATAAACAATACTCCTTATATAAATATATTCAAATATCTTGTAAAGAATCATGAGTCTTTCAAGAAAATATATATATATATATATATATATATATATATATATATATATATATATATATTATACGAACACTAATGATATGTCCTCCACTTGAGAGAGTAAGGTCAATCATATCACTCAATTTTGTATTTTAATATTATTAATGGTGATATACATAGCATCATTATACTATGCATTTCGACCTAGCTAGTTTGTGCGTGCTTTCGTTCTCTCATATTAGGGGCCGATATGTCTGACTAAGGTTTAATTTTGGCCTCCAAACCATCTATATATTTAGTCATCGCTTCAGCCTAAGTCACATAGGAGTCAACACGTGTCAGACAAACCTAATCAACCATTGCTCAAGTGCCAAGCCAGATGTGTCGATGAGATCTGAGCATGCATGTGCAGATGTGCTCACCTCTATGGTGCTATAAAAGCCAAGTCTCCACTCTTTAAAAGGGACGTCATTTGAACCTATACTAATACCTTAGTATATTTTTTGACCTTAGTGAAGACTTTTGATCTCACTTGCATGTAATCATATTGTGTACTAAACCCCATCATTTATACAATTACTCTCATTTCATTCATTTTCTCTACAATCTTACACACATAACCCCACATAGCGTATAGTCCATAAACCATTTATGCTATCAATTATTTTGACATGAGTTTACTAATGCTAACTTTTTAAATTTTATTACATTGAATTATACGGTGTCACGTCAACTTCAATTGAATTATTACAAATATAATGTTCTCCACTAAAGTTGATAATTTTGCGAAGTACTCTGTATCCAACTAGGCCTTGTGCCCACATGGATTGCTGACAAGAAACACTTCGTTTTCCTTTTCCTTCCTTTTTTATTTTTTTCCATAATTAATACTTCCCAGGTCTCATTTTACTATTTATGGATCACTGACATAGTACTTTTAATATAATTTAAATATATAAATTTTATACTAATGCTAAATTTAACAATATGAATAATTGAACTAAAAATAATTTTCGTCATATCTTGTTAACTGAACCAGACATATACACAGAACGGAGGAAGTAAACAATACCGCACATAATGCTATATATTTAGTGGATACATTCTTAGAATACAACTCAAAGATTAACTAACTCAAAATAAGTTTATAATTTTTATTTTGCTAACCATTGCAGGCATAATTTGCGATTCAAATTTATATATTTAGTGGATACTGATTGGATAATGGAGTTTTTTACTTTGATAAAACTACTATAAAGGAACATAATTATATTTAAGTATAAAGTACAACTAACAAAGATATTATCACATGTATAAACACCCGTATTCATTAAGTATGTCGAAAAGAAAAAGAGATTTTAAAAGGATATATAGATTACTGATGTGTTGCTTTATGATGAGGGCAGCTTTGGCTTTTTGGTCTAAATATTAAATCCCCACTTTTTTTTTTCCTTTTTTCTTTTTTACATTCTATATTAATATTTGTATTTTTCTAAAACGTCATTTCTTAACCTGGGATAGTAGCTCAGATGATAAATGGACTCTTTTCGTAGAAAAAATTTTAGGATAATCCAGGTTCAACTCCCACAAGTGAAGAATTTCCAAACCAGTTCTTAGCTTATTTTCGGAGTGAATGAGAATTAGTCAGGTGAACCTAAATAGAGAAAGACCAGGTCAATTTTTTAGTATGATTGAGCATACATGCATTAGTGGTGGACCTTTTAAGTTTTAAATGATTTATAGAGGAAGAGTTTAGGGAGCATGAGATACTACTTGCTTAGCTACCGTACACCAGACCTACATTATTATTATTTTCTAATTTATATAATTATATATGTATGTGTCATTTCCCAATACTTCTTAATACTATTGGTCTGCATGCTTTAATTCACATTCCAAAGGGAGATTCTTACCAGCTACACTATCCAAGCTTCCAACCAAACATATAAGAGGATTGCTTTTTAAAAATAAAAATAAAAAAAAATGTTAAACACCCCATTCAAACGTGATGAGTGATGAGTAAAGAAGGTTTGAAAAGACAGATCATAGTCAACGACAAGGAGATTAGATATTTCCGTTTTCCGAGGTACGTAAATGCAGATTAATTAGTTATGTATATTGTATAGTAGTGAGAGCGTACGTGGCAAACTCAAATGTCACATCGGAACTTGGCCGGCCGGTCCCACCGTACACCGACACCAACTGGACGGACGTCGTGATAGTGAAAGAAGAAAGTGATGGCAGATAAGATTTCCCACTTTCTTTTTTAGCTTCATTCACTCACCAATTTATTAAAGTCACTTCTTTTTTTTTTTTTTTTTTTTAATCTTTATGCAAGGTAATGTGGTATTTTTATTACAATTCTTTGGGTTATCCAATTACACTGATTGGTTGGAGTTATTGCAATTATCTCTTTTTGTTAAATTGTAATTTATGAATACTCTTCATGAATTGCAATTCGATCATGTAGAAAAAGTAATTTACAATTCTTTAGGTTCATCTTGTGTTCAGATGACATGTTCTGACATTTCTCATATGAGAGGTCATGAGATTGATTCTCAATGGAGGAGCCGTTGTTGACTCTTTGTGCTTCACAATAGATATATTACAATATAATAGAGTCACTAGCATTAAAAAAAAAAAAAAAAAAAAAAAAAACACTTCTAAACTTTCTTCACTTAGCATATTTTATTGGTTTGCCCAAATAGCCCTTCCCAAAGGGCTGACATGGAAGTTAAATATACTACTAACTTGATAATTACTCACATTCTTTACCTTGTTGACATTTAAAAGAATTGAAACTCTAACCCACATCAATAGATTTCACCTTCTACTTCACGTAGGTATCTTATTTTATCTTCTTCATGCAGCTATCTTCTTCATCGATCGGCTTCAATGTCTTCTTCATCAGCTTCATCATTATGTGCGGAACAACTTGGAATATGAACCATCTTTGTACTGTAGTTGTGGGTTGAAAGCCCCACTTTGCTCAACTCGAGATTCAGGGAGAAAATTTTATGGGTGTCAAAGATGGAAGGTGCAATTTGATTCTATATATATATTCTTTAAATTTTTGTAATTTTATGAATATATTATTAATAATAATTGTACATGTTCCAAAACGGTCTAGGAGGGTCGTGGGTGTGGTTTTTTTGTTTGGAAAGAACAAATTTCACTTACACGAGAAGAAACTGAGAGCGATGCAACGACACCTACTGCTTCTAAAATGGAGGAAATGAAGAAGTTGATTACAACAATGAGATGTGAAATGATCAGCGAGATACACGATGTACGGGATTTAATTGAAATTGAAGTGAAGGAGAAGAAAATGCTTAAAAGAAAGTGTGTATTCTTTATAGTTGTAATTGTTGCTATGGTGAAGTTTATGTTGTAATATGGCTCAATTATTGAATGCCTTTTGTATTTACACCATATCATCACTTTTGTGTATTCTTCTATAATGAAATTGTCCCAAAAATTTCATTATATTGTACACTTTGAACAAGAAATTCATCATGCAGAATCGCAGATATTCTTCTATATATATTGGAGCTCAAACTCTTGACAACAAATTGAACTGGATGGTGAAAACACTTATGTTTTGTTACTCGGAGGTAATCATTTAAGACATTATTATTAGTATATGATCCAGAACACTTTCATTAACATTATTAGTATATATATGATCCAGAAATACTTTCATTATTAAAGAATCATTAACATATAGAATGTGAATAAAAATATATATTATGTACTTCTAGTTTAGTGTTTAGAGCATCTCCATCTATGGAGTTTGTGATGATTTTTGAGAAAGCAAGGATAATGTGGAGGAAAGAGAAAAAAAATGAGAAAATGGGGTTCTTGCAGGAAGTGTGAGTTTTGGTATGAAAATGTAATTCAGGTCTTGTTCGCGCTTTCGGCACTACTTGCCCGATGCACTCAAGTGCCCCTAGGCACATAAAATCTTGAGTATTTTTTTTGTTGGTAGACTTGCTTTTTTTTCCTCTCTTTCTATCTCCCCCTCCTATATTTTCTTTCCTAGTTACACCTGCAAAAACTCCTCAAAAATCACAACTATTGAGGATGCTCTATATACATTAAGTTTATGAACTTATATAACAAATCTTATGGACATATAGTATAGGATAAATGTTATTAAACATGATGCAATGATTGATGCCATTAACTACTTAATATAAAATGACGTTGTTTTGGACTATGGTCCATCATGCAAGGTGGACCCTGGTTCACGATATAATTTGTGGTCATTGCAAATTATATTGTGGACCATGGTCCTCATTGCAATATGAACCATAAATAAACTTTCATCTTTAATATACTGAATGTACATTATTTATGTACTAAAAATTCATTATTTGGTATACTACCAAATAATGAACTTTGTACACAAATAATGTACATTTAAAAATGAACCTTTAGTGTATTAAAAATGTATATTTAGCATATTAAAAATCTACCTTATATAAATAGTCCATCTTATAAGGTGGATCATGATCTATGGTATAATGGTTGTATGAGTCACAAGGTGGGTTTTACAATTCAATAAATATTTAATTATAAATATTTGGAAGTGACTCCCCACCTACAATTTCATGTTCAATCAGCCATATGGGCTATGAACAATCAAGTTAAGAGTTTGGTGCTCCATATCCATCACTTATCAACTAAGTAGGGGGATAATGTTATAGTTTCATTTTCAAACAGTTTTTTTTTTTTTTTTTAACTAAATTAGCATGAAGATATGCTGTTTTCTTTCAAAGATGTGATAATTAAGAAAACATTTACATTTGTCGTTGCTCCATAAATTAAGCGAAATAATAAATAAATACAATTACATTATGTCAATTGCCAAGTAGTTTAGAGCTAAATGACATCTAGTCATCTATGTGACTCTCCCAAATGAAAGTGTCAGTAGAACTCAAAAAAATTCTAGAAGAATGCTTAGATTAAATAGCTAGTCCTTCGAGGTGGATGGCCCCTTCATTTCTTGATTATTATATCTATATATATCTTGTGTAAGACCGTATCATGTGAGACATGTAATATATTTCAATAAATTTATAAAAAAATTATATTTTAATTAAAAAGTATTACACATGCACAATCTTGTGTGCGAGAGAGATTTTAACAATTATTTGTGTGTGGAAAGTGTGATATAAGCCCAATGCAAATTTGGTTAGTTAGGCTTCTAAAACCATTGGGAAAAAGAATAATTGTTAGATCATGGACCAGAGTTCATATTGCATTGTGAATTCTGTTACAAAAATTATGTACTTTTAGTTAACACATTTTGTACCTACAGTTAACAAATTATGTACATGTAAACAAATAACTTGATAATTGGTGACACATAATATGATAGCTACAGGTACAGAAACTATCAACTACATGTACAAAGAGTGTCAACTATAGATACAGAATCTGACTTGATAATTGCTAACACATAATATGATAGCTACATGTACAGAAATTATCAACTGCAAGTACAGAATGTGTCAATTATAGATACAAAATTCGAAGAATTTTTTTTAATCATGGTATACAATGCAAGGTAAACCCCGGTCTATGGTATAATTTGCCCAAAAAGAATTATTGGGCATGGGTGTAAGCAAGTGTAGTAGTTTATCCAATTTGTATGGATAAGTGAAATTTTGGGGGAAAATAAAAGGCCAACTCTATACAAGGTTTTGTGGCAGCTAAGGGGCTAAGGTTTTACTCTAGAAGGGTTTAGCTTTTGATTTGGTGATTGAAGATATTACATGGTGTTTGGTTGGAATGATAGAATTAAGAAGAAAAAGATTATAATTTTGTTAAAAAGAATAAGGTAAAAATAAAATATAAATTCAAAAATTAAATAAAGATTTATGGGATTTATAACATTGACGATTGGCAAATTCTTCTTTTTCTTTTAATATGATTTTTCTTTTGTTCAGATATTGAAAATGTTTTCTTGGGAAGATTTTACCCTTAAAATATAAATTCTGACAATATTTCGCCGTCAATTTGGCCTAAATGACAAAAAATGATAAAAATAACAAAGTTAGATATTAAAATTGAGAAATTTTAAAATTGTGCACCAAAAATGATAGAACCTCAAAAGTTATAGGACCAAAAGTGAAATTAATACTCTGAGACTTATAATTAGTCATCTTCAAAAAAAAAAAAAAAAAAAAAAAGAATGTAAAGAATATGAAATGATCGGAAAATGTGAGACTATATAGTCTTTTTCATTTCTCAAATATTTCTATCCCAAAATGGAAAGAAAATTACTCATTTCATCCATTTCAACCCATCACACAATTGAGTTAATATTTTTATTGAGCAACATCCTAATGGAATAAATAACCATTTTCCCCAAGTAATTTCTTAAATAGAACAATAGATTGATAAGTTAACCACTTTTTTTGAGCAGCGTAAATATAATAGTTATAATAGTTATGTTGTAAAGTGTGATGCCCGTTGGCCTATTAGCTCCTAACCCCGGTGTGTTGCAAGTAATTTTAGTATATGAACTAAAGCAGAAAAAGTAGAAGAGAGAGTAAAGTAAGAGAGATGAGATTACATCCTTTTACAATAAATATATATATATATATATATATATATATATATATATATATATATATATATGCACACTATAATGGATAGCTGTTACAAATTAAGTCATTAAGCACCATAATAAAGCAGCATCTTAAATAGAACAATAAACTTTGAAGAGCTTTTCTCCAATAGAGTTTAATAACAACATGACTTTAAATCAGTTGAATTCAATGTATTACAAAATAAGAATATAAGTGAATTTTTCCATTTTAAGTTACCATGAACCCATAAAAGCATAGACTGTGAAAACTGAAAGAAGGATTCTCACTTGTCACTTGGCTACTCACATATATCTTCAAACTCTATTCTGGTCTATATACATGTTACATATATACTTACATCTTACATGTACTTGGAGAAGATGACATCTAATGAGCTAATTAGGGGCAAAAAGAATAAAAAATGGCAGCTCCCAAAAGAAAATAGGAGGAAAAATAAAGAAGGAAATATTAGGAGCACCTGGGATTAGCTTATGGACTATTCTACAACCTGTGGACCTAAGTATTGGATAACATCCATTTCTCCATCCTTGGGCATTTCAATCTCTTCCAACCATCCATAAAGTTCACCATCTTCTTCTGCTTCTGCAATTTTTCCAGTAATGTAAACAGTCAATTACAACTGATTCAAACTTGAAAGCTGAAACCAGATTACATAACAGAGTATTAACAAAACATTGTTTGTAGTGTCAAATTTTACATCATTTGCAGCTTTGGTGGTGAGTTTTCTCAAGTTTAACATGAACAAGTGTGTCTGGTTCTCTAGAGACTATGAAACCTTTGCAGCTATATATCCAGTGCAGGTCTTGGGGGAAAAATAAAAAAGGAGCCTACATTTCTGGTAAAAGGGATACCAATGCCTCCAGGATAAAAGGGGAAAGTCTATGAGACTATGAGAGGTTGAAAGCATGGCATCGGGTGCAAAAAACTATGTAAGAAAGTTCAGGCTTCTAAACTACATGGTTGTTCTGAAACACCGATTTGAAGAATTTCCTTTCATGTTTGTGGTTATGTTTCTGTTCTGCTGTGCACTGCTTTTTTCCTCAAAACATTATCAGTGAATAGCATTAAACCACCTTAGTTCTTCAAGGAATTTGATTATTCATCAAGTTAATGTACTTCTAATCTATTTAGCAAGTAGTAGTGAGTGCTGCATAATGCAATTCAGCCTAGAAGGGCTTATCTAATATGATTTTAAAATAATCAAAACCAAAGATTTACTTACTTGATAAAGCATTGAAGGGAGTGTCTCTGTAATATGAGCAGTCGCGGCCATCATCCATGGTATAGGGAGGACCAAGCACATCAAGCACTGCACATGGTGTAATAGCTTTAAATTCATGAATATTGCCTCCAGATGTTGGGTATAAAACAGAAGTGTTGCATGGTGCTGTGAATACTTTGTTAGCTTTCAACCTCGCCAATCTCCTTCCAATGCCTTCTTTAACTGCATCAGCTACAAAAAATCCAAGAAAATTTTGCTCGGTTACTGAATGCGCCATTACTGCTGTGTGCATGGTGCATGAGGTTTAATGCAATGCAGAATGACAATGGACAACTCAGAAGCAAGGGAGAGTTACCTCTTGAAGACAACTCTGAATCGCGATCAAGCCAATCATATGCTTTAATGTGCATGCTCCCTAGCAGAAGCTTGCTGAATACCGTCATTCCTGGGTGGTTGTGTAGAGGTATGACAGCATTTGCAGGAAGAAAGAACAAGCAAAGCTGCAAAATGCAAGCAGATAAGCAATATCAGGCTGATTTTTTTTTCCATGACGAGGAAACCGCAGCCACTATCTGAAAGTGTGTACTGAATAAACCCCGCCTTGTGGCGGTGTGGCCCTAACCAGCAAAGGATCATAAGTAAACCAAGTCTAGTGGGGATCATAAGGAAGTAAACCAAGTCTAGTTAGTAGTTACCCATAGCTGACCGACTCAAAATAAGAAGACCAATAGGCCGCTCCTGTTGGGAGTCAAACTTGTAACCTTGTGGTTACCAAGGTAGCAGTCTGACTAACTTGGCTGGAAAGTATATTTCCAGTCTAATTACTGTCACCCATTTCTGGTATACTGGAACCCATGATAGAACACATCTATTCACCTATGCCAGCCAAGAACTTGAAGGCCTAACACTAGAAGCATATATATATATGGCACATAAACTATAATTTGTTTCTGCAGTTCTGTATGCATAATCAGAAAGTATAAGAAACAGCTGAAGATGGATTCTCTTACCGAGAAGTTGTTGCACTTGTAGATGGTTGTGAATGTGACCCTTGGATCACCTTCAACCTTAGTTTTAGGCTGAAAGAACTGCAGATTCGCACTTAGTCCAACATCTTCTGGTATCATACCATCTACAGAAGAATAACAATCCAGTCAGAAAACTAATTGCTTATCAATCAATGATCATTTCTACCATCATACTGTTCCACAGAACAAATGATATACTTTGACAGTCAATTATATACAGTATAAACTAGCACATTCACCCTGCCCAATTTTCATATAAAACAGAAGGCATATCTTGTAATAGTACTTTTGGGTTAGGTGGAAAACCCGAGGCAACTACCCTAGAACCACAATAAAGTAGATTAGCCTAAATTGTTCATCGTTAACCAACTTAAACCAAAAAAAACTAAAACCTAGAAGTGGAACTTGAAACAATGTGATTATCAAGCCAACAATCTGACCAACTTGAGATTGCCCCTTCTTGTAATATACTTTTACTACTCAAGGAAAAGCATCAAAGATTGGATTTTTTTCTGTTTGATGAACAAACCAATCACTATTAAGAATGACTTCCCAACAAAAGAGCTTAGATTCTTCAGAAACAAGAAGTAAACTGGATATGATTTTGACGAATTCCAGATATGTATGCATATATATAGTTTGTTCATTAACCTAGAATATTGCAGAGCCTCTGCACGTCAGCGGAAGAAGGGACCGAGCCAGGCACTCCATCAAACACCTGGCGGCAAAGCATGAACAGCCTCTGCAACCCAACAGCATTGTGCAAACGAGGCTTCTTTTTCGCCGTCGCCATCACAGCCACGTTCCGGCCCTTCTTGGCGCCGACGCCCTCCCTCTCCCGCGGCTCTACCAGCCCCGTCGTCATATATTCCGATTCCTAGCCCCGCTCCCCAAACAAAACAACAACAGAATTGGCAGCAGTGTATTTTCTCCTGTCTGCGATTGTAGCACAGAGGTTGATGATGAAATGAAAGGATTTATAGAGCAGAGATGCGTGTGAGAGAGAAAAAAGTGTAATTAATGGGAATGGAAAACTAGGCATTACGCATATTTGTATACATGGAAGGGAGAAAACAGAAAACCAATGAAACCCAAAACCAGGGGCCATAGGCATGGAAGCCACAGACACAGGATTTCAGGTTAAAATTCTTTCACAGTAAATTATCTGTGTTTCTTTGCGGCGTTTTACCGCACCCACGCATACTCCAATAAAATAATAATAATAATAATAATAATAATAATAAAGGCATTTTCCGGTCATGATATCCATTATTCAAATACGGCATACTGAACCACTAAGCTAAGTTCATCTGACCCGATATCCAGTATCTCACCACTCTTTGTCGTAGAGTTGCACTCTTGAAACCTCGCAATTATAGTAGCAATCTAATTTGTATTTACCAATAACAATCAAACTTATCTTACTATACTCTTCGATTTACAAAAAAAAAGTCAATATCACTACTAAAATGTGTGCTTTGAAAAAGTCCACTTGACCTCGACGGACAAAGGAGTGAAAGCACCAAACATAGGTAAAATCGATTCAAATCAAGAAAATCAATAAACAACTTCCACGAAAAGTTAAACTTATAATGTTATAGTTACTAAGTCAACTATCCAACTAATTCGATTGATGTTGCATCCGATCTGGTATGACTCTATCTTAATTCTTAATATCTATCAGAAACACGAGAATTGTACAAATATAAAAACATAAGTCTATATTTACACATATTTTTCCCTTAAACATCAATATTAAGTGTTTATTACTCCGATCCATCTGTCATATTTTGCATTTCATGTTCACTATTCATCCGTCAAATTAACTATTTTTTCTTTACTTATTTTTTTATTAATTTTAAATTATTTTAAATTTTTATATTTTAAAATACTTTTAATATAGTCTCTAAATATATAAATTTTATATACAAATACTAAATATGATATCATAAAAAATTAAATTTAAAATAACATCAGACAAGTCTCATTAATCGAATTGTCCATATAAAATAAAACAAATAAAGTGTCTTTAAAACATAATTTTCAAAAGTTTTTTTTGGAACGAATATTTTAATTTACAAACCTTACTAAATATGTACATAATCTGCCACGGCAGATTGAGATATTACGGAGTATAATATTAGGGATTAGGGATACGAATAGTCCAATAGCTTAAAGAAGAGCAAAAGAAATATTATTTTATTATGTTTTCAAAAAAGAAATATTATTTTTATTATATTCCATGATTGAGTTAACAAGCGGCGTACGGCCCCCAAGAAAGAGGAAACAGGCAGTTAAATGAAACCAACAGTGTTTTGTTTTTCCTTTAACAGGAATTCTGTGGACCCCACGTGTATGTTGTAAGGAGTCCATTGTTTTAGCCTCAATGGATGGTTTGGGTTGAAAATTACATTCATTCACCTCATTTTGTATGCTTACATTAATTAATTGAATTAATTTTGTATGTTATATGCATAATTAATTTAATTATTTGATAAAAATTTAGTCAAATTATATATTTAAATTTAAAATATTATAGTTATGATAGGATCATGAACCTGAACACAATTGAGAAATGGTTCACTTTGAATAAAGGTTATATGAATTTTCTCCCAAAGAGACTAGGCGATTGTGAATCTCTTACTACCCCCAACCATGAGCTAACTGGATGCGGTGGAGTCATGTGAGACAAAGTTGAATCATATCGTGAAAATGGAATTGTGGGCGATTTACACAGCAATGAAATGGGCATGGGAAAAAAGAGTAAGAAAACTATGGATTTAAAGTTATACAATTTAAAAAATTTGATTCCAAAAAATTAATTTAATTTACAATTTTATAATTTTAAATTTAATTTTTTGGACTAAAAATTTTTAAATTGTATAATTAAAATTCACATAGATATCAAAAGGTCTCATATTATCAGTACCATATCACTATTTTACCTATTTAAAGGACTTTATTTTAACCGATTATGTTACTTACTTTTTTTTTTTATCCCATTATTAAAAAAAAAAAAAAAAAAAAAAAAAAAAAAAAAAAAAAAAAAAACAGAGATAGAACTTTTTATTATTCCGCGATTTCAGTGAATAAAGAGAAGTTGATCTGTCAGTCACGCAATACAATGCAGCATTGCCAGAGCAACATTCCAAGTTTAAAATTAAAAAAAAAAAATTATTATTATTGGGAAAGCTGGGTTGGTGCTCCTTGTATCTGGAAATGACGTGGATTTGATAAACGGTTTTAACGGCAAAACTGAAAGAAAAAAGAAAAAAATCAGTTTCACAGTCTCACAGACTACTCACAGTTTCAACTCTAGTCTGGTGTGTATTGTACACTATTTTGTATTCTGCGAGCTACTTAAGTAATTTAAACGTAAAGAAAAGGGGTGCACACAGATTTTACTTTGAATTTCGTGTATGCATTAAATTAAAGTATGTATGTGTAGTCGGACTGAATTGTCGCCAACGTGATTTTCATTATTGTGTGAACAATTTCATTGTGAATTTATAATAAGATCATTTTATGTGATTTATGGAAACAGCTGGCACGTCCAATACATTCAGGCACAAGCAGTAGTATTTGCCTATTTGGGCGAGTCTATAGAAAATTGTGTTTAAAGACCGACAACATGACAAGGACTGTCATTTTTTCCCCAAAGCTTCATAATCAGTATGATTTTGTTGAATTAATAAGATCGACAAATCTTCTTAATCGAAATGTATAAACTTTATACTATTTCACAAATTATATGGGGCAGACGAGTCGTTAAAAGTGCATAATATGGCTATGAATATGGTGCCACTAGCCCACTAGCTTCGCCACTAGAGAGAATTGACACACCAAAAATGTTCAGTCAAATTTCACATCTTGCCTCGCTGGAAGATAATAATGTATAAAACAGTAGGCGATCAACGATTGGCAGCCGGTGACCGGATTCCGGCTGCCGTCTTCCAACAGTAAGTCCAGTCTCCGGCGAGGCGGTGACTTTTTTTTTTTGGTGGTTCCATTTTCATACATTTAACAGGTGACATTTTACAAGGACATGATGAAAGCAATCTCAAAATTTGACGCTAATAAAAGCAAGAATTTAGGCAAGTTTAAAAGGGCTGGATCACATATAAATTTTCCTATGTCTATTTGTATGTCTGCTTCAGTTTACAATACTGTGAATCCGGGACCGAAAGATTCAACGGATTGCTAAGCACGGTTCATCGCGTCCACCTCCATATGACAACAAGGATGATGATTGTTACAACCATGCCAGCATACTTGATCCACTTGTCAGTGCGGTTTCTCCTCTCAATCAGTCTTAATAAGGAATTAGATAGCCCCAACGTGTTGAGAACATCCAGAGCTTTCCTTTGAGCTTGCTGAGAATGTAAACAAGCAAAAAAGGTTATTGGTTTGAAACTGGCGACCACAACACCATGACACATCACTTTCGATGACTCAAATATTTGTTATCAGAGGTCATACTGCACTTAGAGCTTTATCCGGACCAAAAATGGAAAATTTAAAGAGAAACCCTCAGCAAAGCCTTACATGACTCCCATTTTGACAGATTTCATATTCCACAATTTACAAGAATTAAGAAGAAATAATGTGGGAGCAACCAAGTGATAAAGACAAGAGGAAGCTAGGAATCCTAGGATACAGTCATGAAGCATTTATATCACACTATGAAGCATATAGGAAAGCTAGATGTGCCCATGAATGCTCCAGCTAACAGTCAAATAGCTCATAAATATTCTTCTATTGAACATAGCTATCGCAAATTAAAAAAGGAGAAGCACAGGGTTCTAGTGTTTCACTAATTCATTTGACTTGTCAGGAAGACCAACTTTATTCCCTACAAGCATATGAATTTATAAATGGAAATAGGTTTCATAGGGTCCATGATAACAGCAGACAAGGAGTACAGGAGGGTTCACACAACTATGCAAAAACCAACTATAGACAATCCGCACATACAGGAAAAGAGAGAGAGATCAGGACACATGTAAATACCTTTAACCGGTCCCTCTGCTCACTATATTTAGAAAGAATAGCAGCACCAGTTGCCAAGGTTTCTTCCATCATCTTTGAAGAGCTGCGGACAGACTGCATTGCTTGTGCTTCCTCATCAAAAATCTTAAGAACATGTGATGAATTGCCATTCTAGAATATAAAGCAAATACATCACCCTGACTATAAATGAATTTTATTTAAGAAAATCAATGTCAATGATTCATAAAAAAGCAGAAAAAGAATTTCATACAGCTCTTCCAAGTAACTCAGCTCTCTCTCGAGCTTCTTGGATCCGTCTCTGATTACGAAGATAATATTTATCCAAACTATCTTTCAAGGAGTCGGCCTCTTCAGCCACTTGCTCTACCTTTCTACATAACAAAGAAGCATTTTTTGCTTCAGAAAAATGTTTCAAGATTTCAACTTGCAATATAGGGAAGAAATTTCAGAAAGCCCAGAATAGACAACCTAACAAGTATAATGTTTCCTTACAAAATGAAAAGTATAAATCAAAATGCTGATGCAGCAGAATGCAGAATGGAAGGGCATGAAAATAATGGATTAGACAATTTTATTTTTATTTTTAAAAAAGATGTGTTAGCAATTAGTTTAAGAGTTTTAAGCTACCCGGCATTCTTTAATATTATTCAAAAAATCAACTAATACAACCTAATCGTGTACACTTAATTCCTAAACTAATAGATAACTAAATATCTCAATTGAGATGTTAAAAAATATCAAAAAGGAGAAAGAGAGAAAACTCTCACATGTCTCCATCCTACCAAGAGCTGGCAGGATGTATATCTCCAAATCCAGATCTCACCCACTCTGAAGTCTACAAGATTTGTGTAAGCCATCTATAGGACTCCCTGCTACGTTTCATTATCCTTCAGCGATGGAAGCTGAAAGTGTCCTGGCCAAGGGTCTTCACCAGTGGGGAGAAGCAAAACCCCAGTCAAAGAAATGGGATTTCAGTTTCCCAGATGCTAATGTCAAATTGTGGAAGAGGATAGTCTGGGTTATTAGTCTTCCACTCCATCTATGAGCCTCTTCAGAGTTTGAATTGATTGGGAGCAATGTGATAATAGAAGTGGACTTTAAGGATAATCTGATAGGAGTATTTATATGGTTAAACTGGTGGACAAATCAAGCCCAACATCTACGTTCAAGACAACAAGGTTTGCTTCAAAATTTAACTGGTTGAAGAAAAACAACCAGTAGCTGCAGCCTGCAGGTCTAGAGTTCTTGTCCAAAAATCGAACTACGTTAAACTTGAAGAAGAGAAGACTAGATTTCAAACAAACAGAGTTGAGAACTATAATATGATACCAAAATAGAGCCTTAAGCAAATTAAAGTTAGCAGAGTCAAAAATTCCACCTTCTTTCTCCCCATAATATTGGGAATCGAGAATTTTGACTCTCGATAGTACACCCCTAGCTTGATGGAATTATTACACTAAAACACCGACTAAACCTTCATATTTTCCTTTAATTTTTACAAGTCTAATTACATGATCCCTATTTGATGAATACATATTGTTTTTCTAAAATTTCCTAATTCTGGTAAATAATAATGAAAGCGGCGATATGGATTCAGTAATTGTGACGAATAAATTACATGAATGCTATAATTCGATATACTAGAAATGTCTGCAAAAACTTCCATCTCAAAGTAGCAAAGGAACTGCAATTTAGAAATGAAAATGAAAAATTAAAATAGAATAAGCAATCAAAAGAACCTTTTCCAGAGATCACGTTGAGACTTGGCAGGAATGGAACGCCAAAGGCGATCCATCTCGGAACATAGCGACTGGATCTGAGTGATGTCCTTCCTAACGGCATCGAACAGATGATCGGAAGAGTCTAAGCCCAACGAGGCGGCGTTCGACGACGATGAGAATGCAACGGAGGAAGACGAGTACTCGAAGCGCTCCAGCTTCTCCAATCCATCTCTGTTCTTCAGCAATAGCCGCCTCGAGCTCTGGTACAGCTCTGACAGAGTCCCACCCCCACCTCTGACGCCAGCATCTCCGAAGTCGACGGGCATCGCCATGGTTGATTAAACGGTTGCGGTTTCGTCGATCTCTCCGCAACGATCTTCTCCGGTTGTTGTGAATGAATTATATCACTGCAACTGAATTCTATATCAATTTCAGCTTGCTTAACTATGTGGATTTTGTATGGAGTTTTTTTCTTTCTTTTCTAATATTACTCCAAATTCTGTGATTGAACATGTTTTTTTTTTAATCTGATTTAATTATTACTTAAATTCTTAATTAAATAATCACTGAAAGTAAAAGTTTGTAAATGTCATGTTATAAATAAACACATTAACCTTAATGCATATTGTATGAATATTTAATATTTATATTATAATTTTTTATTTTATTACATTTTATTACATATGTATTAAAACGTATATTAGAATCAGTTTCAAAACTTGAAAAATGTTTCTCAAAAATAATTTAATTTTTTAATATTTAGTTGAATGTTTGAAAAATATTTTTTGTATTTAACTAAAAGTTAAGAAATTGTATTTTTTTTAAATTTTTTATCCTAAAAATGGAAATATTACTTGTTATATAATAATAATAATAATAATAATAATAATAATTATTATTATTATTATTATTATTATAACAATAATAATAATAATAATAATAATAATGGCAGTAGTGTGTTGATGGTGAGACTGTGATAGTAATAATGGTGATAAGGGTGGTGTCAATTGTGGTTGTATGGTGGTGATAATGGTTGAAGTGATGTAGTGATTGTGTAATAATAAATTATAATAATTCAATTCGAAGACTAGCTTGAAAAAGAAATAAAATAAAAAGAATTTAAAAAATATCTTCTGATTAGAAATTTAAGACAACATTTTATATCAAATCAAACATTTTTTTCGTTGATTAGAAAGAATATTTTCTTTTTGTTGTGCAAAAGTCATTTTTCAAGCTTCCACACGGACCTTATTTTACTATCTTTTAGACTACTAAGAAAAATAATTTCAACAAGTCTAAAATGCCAAGGTCAATTTTTTTTCATATCTTAACCGAAGTCTGTCCAGAAACAAAACCGCAAGCAAATGCCTGCCAGAGATGACCATATGGGCAAAGACGGAAATTCCCCACGCTTACCACCATAGGGGGTAAAAATATGGATACCTCCAAGAAGCTTAAAAACCCAATTCTAACATCTTAAATTTAATTAATACAAGTTTTTTCATCTTCCACATCTTTCTTCCATAGTGGAGCTTGACAAACCTTGATCATAATCTAGAGTCAACGAAAAGTATAGCTACGATTTCCAGTTACTGGAAAAGCTTGGCGTCGTTTCCCTTGCTGGAATTCATTAGTCACCTCTTTATTTAGGGGATCACCCGGGACGGTATTCTTTTTCTTGTTGTTTTTATCAGACTTGCGCCCAACCGCATCTTGCCCAAAATCTACTTGCTTCCTTGCTTCTTCATAGTCGAAGGGCTGAACCTGCAAATTAACCTCTTGAGCTTTAGACTTTTCAGCTAGCGTGGCTTTTCGTGATTCATTGATAGACTGAAAGCACTTCTGAAAGCTGGAAGAGAGATCAGAGAGTGAGACAGACCCATCTTCCTCTTCAATGTTGGCAGAAGAAGCGGATTCACCATTTCCCCTCTGCAGCGGCTGAACATTAGCAGCTTCTGAGTCACCTTTTACTGGTTCCTCAGCATTTTCATCGTCTTCATCATCATCCAAAATTATAACATCTTCACAATGTGTAGTGACTGGCTCAGCAACGGGCTCTTCCTCGTGATGCAAAGATTTAGAAGCTTCAGATTCCTCATTTCCTGGTTCTTCCATGTCATCATCATCATCGTCGTCCAAAACTATAATGTCCTCTAAATTTGAGGTAGTGACTGGCACATCAACAGCCTCCTTTTGATGTGAGCTTTCTAATGGTTGAGCAGGTTCTTGCACAGCTTGAGGTAACTGTTCACTCCTCTCTGAAAATGTTTGGAACCGAAGGTTCAAAGAAGACTTTATCTGCTCCAATTTCATTTCATCCTGATCCTGTTAATCACAAAGAAAGAAGGCAATATCACCACATGGGGCAGGATAAAATCTGTGCAGTAAAAAGAAATTCACATTTCTCAATACAGTTTATTGAAACAGACGCTATAAAAGGTAGAAGTGGAATTAAAATACAGACAAATGATAACTGCCTGCAGAGTCGTCTTAATGTTCAAAATGTGTCTTATCATATTTAGTAGGAAACAATTCAATAAAGGAACTAGAATACAGTTATTATTTCCATATTGTTGTACAGAACATACTCTTCTATCAGAGTCCAACTTCCTCTTAGCCGAGCCACCCAACAGCATCCCAAGACCACGGCTTGGCTTCCTTAGAGCTGGAACAATTACTTCTGCCTGAGCAAGGGAATATATTAGCATGGCAAAAATTCAAGAGAAAAGAGCCAAATGCAAAAAATGCTAACCCATCGAGACTGACCTGTTTCGATGTAGTAACCTTCACATTCTCATTTTCACATCGATGCTCATTTGTGTGATCCCTTGAAGAAGGGCTGACTTTAGTGGTACAATTTCCAGGCTCTAAATACCTGTTTTTCTGTTGTTTTCCAGCTACTGAACTTCCATGGGTACTATTATCTAGTTCAACACCGATGTTAGTATCTTCTGTTTCTGTAGACATTTTCAATTGTTCAGGAGATTCAGGTGTAAAGCCTTCAGCTCCCTCAGTATCAGCCTGAGTGTTTTCTTGAGATGCCTGTTCACATGAATGTTATTCTCTTGAACAGCTTTATATTATAATTAAGAAAAAAAATAAGTTTGGACCTAAGGGCAATTCCCATATAACTGACACAATCACAGAACTCCACACAAACCCACACCTCTTCAATATAAGCAAATTCATGCATCAATAATCACTATAAGGACAACAACAGACAAACCCTCATTAACACTAAGAGACTATGTTGTGACTTTACTAGAGAAATAACCAAATTGGTCTAAAGTATCACTTGGGCCAAATTTCCAATTAGTCGAAGGATTTCAACAATGGCAAACCACATAGTAAAAGAGTACTATAAGACTAGTTTAACAGGGAGGCAACCAGTGAGCAGCGAAATAGATTGTTTATGGTTCTAAATAGAAGTTTGGTAGATCATATTAACAGGAGTATGGAAGTTATCATCTTTCCTGTATTTCTCATATTCATTTCAGACTGAAATTGGTTGTTCGATTATACAGGCAGAATCTCCACTCAGGTGAAGAAGTCCTCCAAGAAAACTAGGAACTTCCGCTGTCATAGTTATATCATGAGTGAGAGACACGCTTTATTTTTTATTGCAGAAGTATGAAAGTGACTTTTTTCCTTTCCAGCATCAAAGAACATTTAGACAAGGGACTTCTCACCTATTGTCTATTGTTTATCATTTTCAGTTCATTAGCTTATAGGCTTTATAGCATATATCATCATACGAGAGAATAGTTCTCTACAGTCTACCCGAACTCAATGCTGACAAATTCAAAACAGACAGATCTAAGAGAGTAATAAAATTTCATTTACCTTCTTTTTTTAATCTCAAAAAGGCTAACTCCTATCTTATCTCAATTTTTAATTCCCTTTGGAAAACCATCAAAATAACATAAGATAAAATCTTGAGAATAATTTGAAAACTTACTAATTCCATATGCCTTTCTTTTAACTGTTTGGCAGCAGCTTCATATGCAGCATAATTTTGGATAGAGTGCCTAATGATACTGACTACAGCACTAAGGTTGTGCTCGACATAAGGATGCTTTGATTTTACAAACCGCCGCAACTTGTTGCCAACGAGAGGCATCTGCTTAGCTTTTTTTAACACAGCAAAGCAAATGTGCATAAATCAGTTGTGAGCTAAACACAGGAATAATTGAATTGAATAAAGGTAAACTGGCAACAGGTATAACAAACCAATTTCAATCAGGGTTCTGTTTGGTAAAATATAGCCAGTACTTTCATCTTCAGCACGGGCAATAGCATCTCTCCACTCACAGAGTCCCTTGAGATAGTCAAGAATCGTGGCAAAGGAAAGTAGTTAGCAATGATATCCTATTAAGTGTTAAAACCACTAATTTCGATAGCATGTCTTGTCAATGACCAGAGATAACAGATTATAAATCGAGATGGTTACATGAAATATAGAGCAACCTACAACTTACAGCAACAATAGCAAGCTGTTGAGCATTCAGCCCAGCTCCCTGCAACCTGCAAATGCATTTCAGAAGGCTATACTAAGTACCAAGGCCAATATAACAAAAAAGAACAATGGGAAACTACACAAAATGCAATATAGAAATCTATAAAGAAGTTCAGGTAGAAATTGTACGTGTTGACAGTTACTACAAAAGGACATTAAGCTGCCCAGTGGAATGCCATACCCATATATGTGGAGATATGAACTATCAGTTAAAAGTTCTTTTTCATACATCTGCATGCATATATCATAGCTGCGCTTGTATACCTGCAAGCAACATTAAATCTATTCAGGAAAGCAACTTTCTCACAAGATTGAAACGTAACAGATCAATCTCATGTCATAGGCAAAAATTATTTCCTTCAACTATTATCTATACAGCTATACTCCATACTCCATAGTATATAATTTAACCAGTAGTAAGGCTTCTGGTAAGCCTACCAGAAGACTTATTTTGTCATTGTTTTTGCATGAACAAGCTAAAGAACAATTTAAATAAAAATTAAAAAAAAAAAAAAAGGATTAAGAATAAAATCTAAATTTACTTGTAAACAATGCATAATGCAGCTATGGATGCAAATCATGCAATATAGTCATTTCAAGAACAAAAGGATCAAGTATTGAAAAGGAAGGTATAAGGGTCTTACCTCTACCAAAGGAGAATCAGAAGATTCAGTGTCCGTGGGTAGTTCAAGCAACTGCTTCCTCATTACATCGTAAATATATAACAGATAATGTGTATCTTCTCTGGCATATCTACAGAATAAAAGCATTAAGTGTCATATTGCAGGCTTGCAGCTCAGTGGCTGAGAAAATTGAATTATGCACTATAAATACCAACAACCAAGACACAAAGAAAAGGCTTTGTGTTTTTTCAATTTACACAAAAGAAAAAAGATATCCATATTTAAATAATTGTCCAAGTCTGGAAAAATAGAACAGAGTGGAGTCAGAATTTCTACTTTGGGAAGACAGGTGGATATATATTAAAAGATAAGCCTTATAGAAACACTTAGTTTTGAGGGTATATGGATTATTACAAGTAAAAAAAAAAAGTCTCACAAGATCCATACCTCACCATCTCAATAGGGAGTGGGCGCAATCTCCATTCTGCATTCTGGTATCTGCAAAGAGAAGAATGGCCAATATGACAGCATGGCATTTAGTGCAAATATTTAACTAATCTATTCTTTTGGGGGAGGCAGGGGAAGCTTCTCAAAATTTCAATGTTTCCCCTTCTTTTCATTGTTTTAGGTGGGGGATGGCAGGATGAAGATGATACACATAATTTTTAGGACATATGTAACTACAATTAGATCATACTCTTTCTTTGCCGCAACTCCACAATAATGATGCAGCAGATACTCCAAACTGTTCCTCTCCAGTTTCAAAACCCTTGAGGCCTAGTAATTGACACAATAATTATTTCACTAAAGCCCCAAAGAGAAAGCATCATGATGTATCTCATTGTTAGAACGATTTAAAGAATGTTCGAAAGTCCATAAAAAGCAATGGTACAATAAGAAACTAAACAAAATCCCTTGATATCAGAGGGTTTATACACCTTCCTAAACCCTGAATAGCTCAATACAACCATTGAACTAAGCTTAAAAATCTCCATGATTTACTCATTGCTAGTTTACTGCTCAAGTATGATAGCCTCTTATACAGAATATTCTTTGAATATGTAGAAATCCACCGAATTGCATACAGCTAGATAAAACATTTTTTATAAAATTTCAATAAAAGATTAATGCATAGTTTGGATTAGATTAGTATTAGGCTATTAGCTTTTCTAAGATTATAAACATGTATCTGACATTTTACTGTTTTTTATCATGCTTAAGAAAAGAGCTTATGGCTTTTGAAAATTGTTTTTGTTTATTTCTATAAGCTATTTGAAAGATGTTTTGGCTGAAGATACTCATTAGAAGGGGTATAAAATTAGTTGCATGCCTATCAGAATAGCTGAATACAGCTGTTTAAAGGCAAGTTGAAATGACAAACCCAAATAAGTTGTTTGGTGCTTATCAAAGAGCACTCATCATATAAACAGTTACATATGTCCATCATCCATACTGAGCCTAAATTGAAAAAACACATTATTGAGGCCCACATAAGTTGTCAACTAATACCAAGAATAAAGCATTTGGTGAAGGATATACTTCAAACTTCAAAGAGTTTGATGATCTTGCAGAGCTTTGTCTTTCACTAGTGAAACAAATAATCTTGTAAGAATAAATTATTGATAAAACAAACAGGTCAATTATTTGGCTGTTTCTTCAATTTCATCTTTTTCTTTTAATAACTAGAAAAGACCTAAAGACTCAACTAAGTGCATTTAGTAAATAGATAAATATACCAGATCATTTGATATTGCAAAATATACCAACTATGGTTCATCGATCAACATATTTAATAGATTATTCAATGTCATTACCAAAAAACCAAAACTAGTCTTTAACCAGGGTCCATGCAGCAGTAAATCAAGCCCATACCTGACCAGTGTCAAATAGATTGCAGACATATATGCCGAAGTCACGTTGAAGCCATATAATATCTCTATCCGCTCCATGCATAACCTAGTTATACAAGGCAAAAACATGATTAACACTTCATTGGCTGCATGCCTGCATCAATTAAAAGAGTAAAGATGCTTACCTTTTTTTTGGTTGGGTCCTTAAAAACTTCTCTTAGATATGGACCAACATGAATGCGAAGTTTCAGGGTGTCCACAACAAAATCTTCACTTCTTGTGGATATTTGCATTAGGCATGTTAGCCCTTGAAATGATCGATATTGATTATGCTCCAAATCAACCTGGACCAAAGTTGATTGCAGAACAAAGCTCAGGCAATTAACTTGGAAAACAATGCATGTGATACTATTCAGGTAAAGAAGTTCCTTTTTGCAAGTCAGGAATATTTTAAAACAGGCATAATTACTATCTGATTTGAACAACACAAGCTAAACTTAATGTTTTATATAAAAAACCAATCTCATATAAAAGCAAACCTCGCAACCCCTACTCTAAATGTCGCTTAATCTAAGCTCTTGATAAATAAGACATATCACAAAATAAATCCAACTATAGATGTTACTCATTTTAAGCTCATTGTGACATCTGTTAGAAAACCAAGAGTCCAAGACAACGTGCAGATTTTGTTCCTTATCATGTGCAAGAAACTCAAAGGTGACGGATTTAGTGAGTTTCAGAATTAACACATGTTGTAATATCAGAAGACTCCTTAACCACCTCTTAAGCTTGTAAATACATTAGCTATTGTAATTTTTATATTAAGCTTCTAAGCAATAAATTCCTTATCATACATGTTTTGCTCATTCTCTTGTTATTAGACTTATTACCATATTTCACCTCTACCAGTAGGCAGTTGGTGTTTGCCAACCACACAATCTTCCAACCTATCATTTCTTAACAGCATTCAAAATGAGATAATAAGAAACAGGTCCTCCCTACCCCTTTCCCTCCTGGGGGGTTACAGATATGTTTGATACTGCTGATTCTGTCTTTTATAAGTATGAATTTCATCAAACAGACCAATACCACCTAAGGTACAGAGGTTGTACAAAGAAGAAGAAGAAGAAGAAGAAGAAGAAGAAGAAGAAGAAGAAGAAGAAGAAGAAGAAGAAGAAGCATTTAACACTGATTGTCTGAGTATGAAAGAAAGAGCACTAAAAAGAGTCTTTCATTGAGTCCAAAAGAAAAGGGTATTCAAGCAGATATTCATATTCTATATTTTTCATAGAAGATTGACCTATTTTTTCATTCCAAAGAAGCCAAAATAAGCATAAGGCAAGTCAATTCCATATCCTATATCTAGTTTCTATCGCACTAAGACTCCAACCTTCTAATACTTTCTTGATGGTCAAACTGGTGAAAGGCATGACTCAGAAGCCAAATTATCACCTTCTACACAAAAAGATTTCTCAGTTCCTATAAACATAGACAAACAAGATGCACAGACAAGATTCTCCAAACTTTCATCAACAAATAATTTTCTAAAAATGTACATTTTGCAAATATTCCCTTATATTCCATTCGTTGTCTAACCTCATGAGTTTATTTTTTTCAGACATAAAGGATGGAAAATAAAATAATAGAACATTGCAGCCAAGATTTTTTTGCTTGACAAAATAGAAAATGGTTGTTGTTTTATAAATTCAATCTATACTCACAAAATAATTTTTTTAAAAAAAAACCATCAATCTGGCTATAACAAATAAAGCTTTCAAAATGTTACCAAAACAAAATAAAAACTATAATTGAAAAGTACCGCAAATTCATCCACTTTGCGCAACTTGGCAGCTAACTCCTTCAGATCTTTGACCTGCTCTACAAGCTTAAATGGAGTGCTCTCTATAGGAGGAGGTTCAATGGGATCTATAGTGCCATCACCATCAACAAAGTCCAGTACAGAAAGCTTCTCCTGAATGAGCATAGCTAGAAATGGTAAGAAGCTCATTTTATTCGCATCATAAATTTCAACTATGGGTTAAAATAAAAACTCACAATTTGGACATAATTAATTTTAGAAATCATAAAGATATCACTCATTCTGGGAGAAACAATTACTCGGAGTCAAATTAAAGAAGCCCAAAGAAACCACAGGACTCTTAGCATGGTTAAGAAAAATAGAGAAGCACTGACCAGGGGATGTATGAACCTGGACCCGTCATCACTCCTCTGTAACCACACGTGCTCAAAAGGCTGGTTAGAGTTGTTCACTACTATCTTATACTCATCCTGTGGCTTAGGAATTGTGGGTATATGAAAGGGGACCTTCGGCTTCGGCTTTGTGGCCACCTTCACCCCATCCGCCACCTTCTCTTCACTCCTCTCCAGGATAATTTTGCCAGAGCCACTGGCACTCGCTAGCTTCTTATTCCTTCTCCCAAGCACCACCTGAAACCCACCTTCCGACTCCATTCTCACGCCCTTTTCCTCTTCTATCTTGCGTGCAGCCCGGAACTCGTCAAGCGAGGCGTCTAGCCTCTCAAGCACATCGTCATTAACATTCACCAGCCAGTCGTACTCATCATCGGAATCGTCTGGGAGTAGCATCGCTTTACCCCATAATTCCGACAACGCCCCCACCTTTTCGAGAATCTCTTTCGATTTCTTGTCTGTTGTTTTGACTGGAGATTTGAATTCGGGGAAATTGTTGTAAAAATGGAAGTCCTTTTCCGCAGGTAGGCCTCTTGAAGAGGCAGAGAGCTTCGCAATTGAAGAAGGTAAGGGACCGCCGGCTGCAGTGAGTTTGCGCAACACCTCGGGCTTTTGAGGGTCATCTTCAGATGATACGTCCATCATCTCCATGGCCACGACAAAATGAGGAAGGGTTTTGTGAGCTAGGGTTAGGGTTTTAGTGCGTTCCGGGAAGGAAATCTGGTGAGCGGTGAATAAATCAAGCTTGTTTAGACATTATTAGAGCATCACAATGCCTAGGCAGTATTTAGAGGGGTGAACATGAAAATAAAGATTGAATATGTGTTCTAAATATGTGATTATGATTGGATTTATAAAATATATACTCCGTATTATAAAAGTTTTCATAATAACATTATTTATAAGTTAAGAAATCTATATCTATACTATATATAAAAACAAAATCCTGAAATTTTAACTTCCCGCCTAATTCCTAAAAAATCTCTCTTCCTAATAAAATATATTGATTTCTACTTTCCCATTCGTACAATAATTCTGTAATTCTGCTTTAAAATTCTATTCTAATATTATAAAATAGTGTAATACAATCTTTACTATATATAAAAACAAAATCCTGAAATTTTAACTTCCCGCCCAATTCTTAAAAAATCTCTCTTCCTAATAAAATATATTGATTTCTATTTTCCCATTCGTACAATAATTCTGTGTTAAAGTTCTATTCTAATATTATAAAATAGTGTAATACAATCTATCTATACTATATATAAAAACAAAATCCTGAAATTTTAATTTCCCGCTCAATTCCTAGAAAATCTCTCTTCCTAATAAAATATATTGATTTCTACAATAATTTTGGGTTAAAATTTTATTGTAATATTATAAAATTGTGTAATACTATTCCTATTCTAATCTATATTTATTTTATATATCAGTGTTGCAAAAATCGTGTCGCTGGCCGCGGCGAGGAAGGCCAGAATCGGTCTCCTCAACGGCCGCCTCGCCGGTTCAGGCTGAACCAGCCTTTTTTTAAGTTGTAAAGTGTCAAAAGTTCGCCAAGGCATAACTTTTGACTCCGTTGTCCGTTTTGGACAAATGTTTTTTTGAAATCGCGTATTTTTTCGAGATCTATCCACCGCAAACTGCCATAGGCAGTTTGGCCCACCAATTTCTAAAAAAAATACTTTATTAAAGAGTTTCTAAGAAAAAACTATGAGAACCTTATGTTTTATTAATGAATTTTTAAAATTTTTAATTAAACAATTGTCCCGTGCATTATTTAATAATCTTTCTTTATAATTGGTTAAATTATTTAATTATGGTAAATTTGGGAATAATTAATGATGGTAATAGAAATCCTAGAAGAATATAGAATTGAATAATATTTAATTATTGTTATATTATTATTGTGACTCATGGAATACAAGAGTTAATTCCATTTTTGGTCCTAGACTTATTGGGACATTGACACTTTTCATCCTCCATAATAAAAATTGCCACTTAGTAGCCACTGTTATTGATCGTTGGACAGTTTTGATCCTCCGTCAATGACGCCGTTTGTTGACCATGAATTATAAGGGTTTTTCTGTCTTTTTATGTTCTAATCCTTGTATTTCTCCATCCATTGGTCACTGCTACATCCGTTTCTTCAAACTGAGGTTATCCGCTTTAGTCCTTTCTAACATTAAGAAACCATCTTCACCCAACTAACAATCACGAATTTTACATTTGACATCAATCTCAAGATAATGGAAACAAATGCAATTGGAATAGAAATGGCGTTAGTTCATGCCTGTGGAAATTTTGTCGAGCATACAACATAACTAGCAAAGTCAGGAATATCACCCAACCCCTCCCTTAACCTTTCTGCATCAACTATAATAGGTATGCCCCTACTCTTTGCCTCCTGCACTACAATCAAAGCAGTCTCATGCAGCCTTCCATCTAAGTAGACAATATTTACTTCAAGCGCTGAAGACAATTTTGATTTGGGTATGTAGACCCTCCGATATCATGGGTGGATATCCTGGAGTGAAAATGCACGTGCGAGTTTTTTTTTTTTTTTTGGTTGTCAACAATGACATATGTGAATGGTGAGTTTCCTCCTTTGGACACCACCATAAAAGATGTATCAACACCATCCCTTTCAAGCTCATCAAGTATTCTTTCGCCATGCGAGTCATCAGCAACCTTAGATATGATCCTTGGATTAAGACCAAGACGAATTTTATCATCCGGGTTTTATCAAAGCATTGCCAGTGTTACCACCTCCTTGAACCTCAAAGCTGGTACTCCGAATTTTATCATCCGAGTTGGGGAATGAAGCTACAGCAGCCAGGAAGTCAACACCGGCCATTCCAACACCTCAGACAATGCGATTTTTGGGGAGCGGCGGATTCAGGTAGAATAACATAGTTTTTGAGGTTGTGCACCAAGTAGTTGTGGTCAGAGAGAGAGAGAGAGAGAAAGGGAGAGAGAGAGAGAGAGAGAGAGAGAGAGAGAGAGAGAGAGAGATGTGAAGGATATTTGTGGTCAATATGGAAGGGAGGACTTACAGGTGCAAATTCTACATCACGCCATCTACAACTACAACTGTTATTTACCATAGGAGGGTTCGCCGACCTGCTGCCCTCTCTGCTTCGCCGGAACTAAAAACCACCGGTGAAGGCCCCAACCTCGCCGGATCTGTTGTTGCACCGCCAGATCTGCCCTACTGGTCCGTCGCCGGAAGGAGTTACTACCTCGTATGCTCACCGCCGTACCCACAACTTGCCGGAGAAGAACCTCGCTGTTACTCACTACCGATGGTTACTACTTAGCCGCCAAGTCTCGCCATCTCGCCTCACAGGAGTTACAGCAGCGCTGGTATAAACAAGATTAGAAGAATAAGACATAAAAAGACAGAAAAACCCTTCTAATTCACAGTCAACAAACGGCTTCATTGACGGAGGATCAAAACTGTCCAACGACCAATAACAGTGTCTACTAAGTGGCAATTTTTATTACGGAGGATGAAAAGTGTCAATGCCTCAATAAGTCTAGGACCAAAAATGACATTAACTCCGGAATACAATACAAGAATATTTAATTATGGTTATATTATTATTGTGCCTCATGACCATTATATACTAACCGTACTTGAAAAGAAACTAATAATAATAATATAATAATAATAATAATATAAGTGGTAATAATAATATCTAAAAGTAACTAAGTTTTAATAATAATAGTAAGAATATTAACGTAAAAGTTATAACATAGAATAAATTGTAATAATTAATAACTATAGTGTAGGATTAAATTTGGAATTGTCAGGAAAGATAAACGACCTCTGGTGAAATTAACTCTTAAATAATTATATATCAATTTAAATATTCTTAATATATTACAACAATTCTATTCCGTGCATCGCACGGGTGAAAATACTAGTATTTGTAAAAGTATATTCAATTTAGGTTTTTAATCATTTTTTATATATATATTTTTTAATATGAATAAGTTCTAAAAAATTATAAATGTTTATTAGATTGATTTTTATAGACTCATACAAAATTTATAAAAGTTTAAAATATTTTATAAAAATATAGAAAGATTATGTGAAAGTCATTTAAAATTTATCATTTAAAAAATCGTTGAAACTCTATAAAAGCCTTGAATTAATAAACCCTCTTAGTTATTTACCTATATATTTCCTTCTTCTTCTTCTTTTAACAATAAAACCCATCATTAGTGTGCGAGGGTGTACACTGAGTAAATATGTCTCATGACCTTAATCGGTGAATGATCACAATTTTAATAAATATATTTTTAATCTTTATATTTTTTCTTTTCTTTAATTCCCTCAGTGCATGACTTATAATTATTAGATGTTCATAAATTAGCTGAGCTACTAACTTTTTAATACAATATTATTAGTTTTAATATTATGCATTCATCAAGTTTTAAGTCTTCAATTTTTAATTGTATTAAAATGGGCAACCCATGGGTTATACAAGTACCACTCATATTTTATACGACCAGCCAAGTTATAAATAGAATGATTCATCCCAATTGTATATTTAACCTATAAAATACAGTTAAATGGGTCCAACCTTGCGAGTTATGCTTATATTGCCAACACTATTATTTAATAGCATATTTTGACTCTATCATTAATAACACTTTTCACTTTTAATTATAAACTATTGACTAAAAATTGTTTAAATGTGTCAATACAACCTGACGCGGACTATCTAAAATAAGAATATGATTGAACATGCATGATAGTTTATATATATATATATATATATATATATATATATATATATATATATATATATTTCAGTGCAATTTTGCCTTTAGTTTTTTGGTTCCAACATTTATCGAACCCTAGCCATTTTATTACCTTCATTTACACATTTATAGATTAGATTATGTATATATTTAATTACTCAAATACCTTTGAAACTTGTAATCAATAATTAACATTTGGATTTAACAATTTACCTTTTAATATATAAATTATATTTTCCTTTGTATAGTGTATCTCTTTTATTGTGATGTTAATGTTAATGTTTTATACTCGTATTTTTTCTTTGTTTACATTTAGTATGTATTTATGTATGAATAGTTTGTTTAAGGGCTTTAGTTGTGCTTTATTTGTCAATTGTTACATTAGTGCAGTGGTATAATTCATAACTTATGATTTTTATGTGTATGAGGGATTTGCATGTGTATCTTATTATTAGTTGGTGTATAATATCCATTAGCATGTTCTTTGAATAAATTTTGAATTTTTTAGCCACGTGAGTTCGGTAAACATTTTAAGTTAGTCATTGCATAAAGCATATCTATCACCCTAATAATATATGAAATATGAGGTTTTTTTTTTTTTGTTAATACTTATTATTGTGGGTTGAATAATTCTTTAATTGATGTATCATGAAAGTAGAACAATTCATCGTCCTAGTTCTTATTTAGATTGTCACAACTCACAATAGGAATGTTATAAATGTGGGTCAACAACTGACATGTGTGTCATAAAATGATTATTGATATTAAAGTTTCAATAAACAAATTAGCTAATGTATATTATACGTTAGCTTTTTTAGAAAGGTTGATTAAGTCGGTCGCAATTAGTTAAAGGGTAATATTTATTAGAGAAAATTTCAATTTTGGTCATACGACTATAGGGGCCTTGTTAATTTCAACACCTAACTTTCAAAAGTATCAATTCAGTACCTTGAGTATATAATTTTTCTCAATTTTGGTCATTCCAACCAATTTACCGGTCAAATTCGACCGGAAAAAAT